AAGTACGTGATCGGTACAAAGTTTATGCCAAGAGGAATTCTGACACGTAGACAAATGTATTTTATAGACCCTTGTCTTCGAGACAGGAAGAGATTTGACTATAGAGAGGCAAAGTCACGCCCATCTACTTCCGCCCCATGGGACCTTATTTCGGAAAAATTATGTATTGAAGTCAATGGAGAGAGAAAGATTATCTTTCGATCCCGTTTGAATTGTGCCACGAATTACACATATGATGTTTGTCAATCTTAAAAAATCATTTCCATGTCAAAAAAGTCACAGTTTGTCGTAAAACTGTTGAAATATAAGACTATGAATAATTCGCAACTAGAAAGACTACAAATCCCAGAATCCCGGTCCCGCATGTTGGCTCTTAGGAACCGACTAACTCCCCTTGTGTGTATGTACAGCTCTCAACATGCCCAGACTTGGAGTGATTTTCACCTCTTTTAATACTTTCCGCCTCATTCTGAAAGAAAGAAGTAAAATGTGCCAACGTGACGGCCGTCTTGGTGTGTGGTGCGAGATGGGAGATGTAGTTCATTGAGCGGTTTCACACAAAAAAAAGTGTTACTTCACAGTTTTACGACACATTTTAATTTTTTTGACTTTCAAAATTATCTTTTAAATTGACAAACATCATATGTGTAATTCGTGGCACAATTCAAACGGGATCGAACAATAATCTTTCTCTCTCCATTGACTTCAATATATACTTTTTCAGAAATAAGGTCCCATGGAGGAAAGGGAGGGACTTCGCCTCTCTATTATGGTATAAATGTACTTAAAGTTATCAAAGCCAGCTAACAGTAAGCTAAAGGCTAACACTTCAACTGTGAACCATTTCAAGTGTCTTGGTCGTAAAACCAAACCATATTTTATGATTCCTCTTTAGGGGAGTAGCCTTTCCTCTAAACAATAAATGGTCACGTCACATTACGGATGATTTTTCTGATGTTTTGCAGTGCTAGTGAGGCGGGGTCGTGACAACAAGGCAGAGTTGGTGCTTCTGGACCACGGCCTGTACGAATACCTCAGTCCACGGTAAGATATTTCTGTTTACAGATAATAACCTCTGAGGATATTCAGCTATCTACTCTAACTGCAAACTTTGACCCCAGCGACAGAGCGGCTCTCTGTAAACTGTGGAGGTCCATAGTCCTGCGGGATGAAGCCGCCATGGAGAGGCACTCCAGAGCCCTGGGGGTCAAAGGTGAGCTCAGGTTATTATTTTATATTCTCCTAAGGTGTGCAATACATTTGTCTGGGTTTCAAAATGTAATATCAGAATCTATTTGTCCCTTTATATGTGAAATCTGTCAGTAACTTAAAAACCATTAATTATTTCTTAACTTTTTTAATGAAATCCACTTTGTACGAAAGCCCTGAGAGGCAAGTGAGAAACATTTTTTTAAGGTGATTTTATCTGAGTCTTATCTGAATAGTTTACTCTGTGTTTATGACCTAAACATTAGTTTTAAAGGTGGTGTACCTGTTGGTCATTCACTTCAGAAACACTTGTTATATTCCATGGAATGCTCTTAACTTCCCGATAGCAAGGAATACATTAAATGCTTTGACAATAAATACATAAAAAAGCTGTAGCTACTGTAAAAAGCACGACCAATCATCTGAGCCGGCCCTGCTAAAATAACTGGATGGCCTACCTGCCTGTCAGCCTTCCATCTGTGCACAAACTTATCTCGTGCCCTCATTGGTCATGTGCGCGTTCGTGTGTGTTGGAAGAGGGGCTCTGTAAGGAAGTCTGAAGGAGGTGATATTCTATTAATTTTCACGTTCACACAGTCGGTGATTTTTGCCGTCCGTCTTTCCTGCAACGGCAGTTTTTCTGTATTTCCTTTCTCCTGTAATATGACTTGATCGCTTTAAACTCAGCACACTGAGCTCTGATTGGTCAGCAGGCGGTGCTTTCACGGAGTTGATTTATTTTCCTGGAACCAAACCTGCTCCGGAGCAAGTTAGCCGTTCAGCATAAGTTAACATGGAGATCTAGCCTGCTAAGAAGTGGACCAGCGTCGTAGGACCGGAAACCCAGAGTTTTCCCTGAAGTTAGCTCGCTAAGCGAAAATCCGGCTTCGTAGTACAGGCCTCTGGACAGCAGTGGTATTACAGTTATAGCTTCAAAGTGATAATGTCTCCGCTCTCCCTGCAGAGTACCTGCTGTTCAGCGAGATGCTTCTTCAGCGGCCAATCAACATGCAGGAGTTCGGCCTGTCGAACATCCTGAGTGGGGAGGAGACGGCCTACATGCGTCAGATGGCCCTGCAGCGCTTCGACAGCATCATGGCCGTCCTGAAGGCCATGCCTCGACCCATGCTGCTCGTCTTCAGAAACATCAACACGGTGCGGAGCATCAACATCAGCCTGGGGGCGCCGGTGGACCGCTACTGCGTCATGGCCAAGACGTGAGTGGGAATACAACGATTTAAAATATCCAGGGGGACAAAATTATTTCCTCATTTGTGGACAGCCGGTTTACTTTACTGTAAACACAATAAAGTCACCAGTGTATCACAAAGTACTAAACCTTTCATTTCAAGGCCCACACAGTCAAATCTATTGGCCTGTGAGAAATAGATAGATAGCTGGATGGATATAATTTGGGAAATGTTTGCGTTGCAGCAGCATAAAGAACAAGGCAATGTACATAAGAGAAATTAAGACGCTAGAAATAAAATAGCTTTAAAAAGTCACAATATACA